AGGAGTGTGCTGGCGGCCTCGGAGCGCGGTGCCCGGCACTCCCGCTTCCTGCTCCGCCTTCCCCTTGCCAGCCCGAAAAAATAAAAAAGGAAAATTAGGCCGCCGACTTCCTGCCTCGCGCCCCGCCGCGCTGAGGCTCGAGTTTCCAGTCAGCCTGCGCTCTCCCGTGCGTTCGGGTCCCGCGCTCAGACCTGAAGCCCAGTTCTCTAGGACTTCAGAGGGGTCCTGAAAATGGGTGACAGATGAGCCTTGGATTTAGCTGGGTCTGTTTATGATTTTAAAACAAGAGACAATCAGGATCCGCCGGAGCAGGCTTTTTTCTGTCTCTGCATAGAGCGGCGACGACGCAATCACAGTAACAGCCGGCTTTCGGGCGCGGAGTGCGGAAAATCCCCGAGTCCTTTCCCGGCCCCGCGCCGCAGCCACCGCTGAGCTCCACCCGGGCGTCTCCCAGCTCCACACTCAACTTTTAAAAAACTAAACTCTGAACAGGTCCTTACGTGATGGATTACAAGCTTTCCTAAGCACTTAATTTTCACCGGAATGATTTAGGGAGTGAAGGACCACAGAATTTTAGATCCAGATTGCCAGTTGCCAGTATTTCCACTTTACTAATTGGATAAGATTAAGGGTGTGTGGGGGGGTTGGAGGAGATTCGGGAAATGCAATCACAACAAAACATAATCCCTAACGTATTACTGGAATTGGAAAAATGACTCCTTGTTCCCTCTATTCCCAGGAGACTGACATTGGAATAATTTTCGTTGACAAAGAGCATTTCGTGAAAAGAATAATTTTTTTAAAATGACTCAGAATAATAATTGCACCTCAGTATGAGGCAAGGGAGGAGTTTCAGAAAACTGATTTACCTTCATTGCGTTAAAAAATGTGAGCTAATGGAATGTGAAAATAAATCAATCAAGAACTGTCTCTTGTAATCTTAGCATGTATCTTAAGGTTGCCTTAGATCCTAAGGACAGAAACACAAATATGACAAAAATATTTTTAAAAAATTTTTAAATAGTCTAAGTCAAATACTCCTGTTTATATACTTCAAAGAAAGATTTTAGATTTCAGCTGGTATTTTAAAGATTTCAGGAAAAAAAGGGGCGGCATTTATAGTTCAGGAGGTACTATCCTTGAGAGGCTTGGGAGGAGGTAGTGTGCAGTGTTATTGGGGTAGAAAAAATACTGTCACCTGCATTGGTTAAGCTTTGAATGACAGATATTCAGATTTTAACATGAGGGAATTGTGGAGAAAAAAAAATTGATAGTAATAGTTTTTCTCCTGTAAAATACTCACCACCAAAACAAAATATTTGTATAGTTTTCCTGTTTATTGAACATATTTTGTGATGAGTAGTGGAGATATAGCAGTAAAACAAGCCCCTGCTCTTGAGACACAATGAATGACACCTGTATTAAGCTTTGCAATTATACAAGCAATTCAAAATATTTTTGGTATACATTCTGCTTCGATCATCAAACACCCTAGGAGATTGGTTGTTTCCCATACTCCTGTTTCTTTTTATCTTCTAACCAATTCTTCATTCTGTCACATTTTATAGACCTTAAATATTTTACTCTATCAAGCCATCATGTAGGTAAATTTTTCCTACTCCTTTTGTATTAAATTTATGATACTTTAAAATTAATAGAAGTTTGGGAATGATTACTACAATAATACAGTCTTAATGTAAAATATGTTGAAAACACAAGAAAGCAACCACAATTATCTGGAAGGCCTGCTATATTTTATACATCTGAGATGGCCCTGTATACTGTTTTATTTTTACCCCATTTAACTATGTATGAAGCACATTGTCCCTTGACACTGAACACTGTTCTAAAGCGTGGCTTTAATTATCTGTTGCATATGCCAGTTTTCCGGACACTGTAGAATCTCAAAATTCTTATAATAAAAACTGACAAAGTAAATCAGTTGTCAAATTGTTTTCTACACTACTCACTTAGCGAGGGCTAGAAAATGAATGTACGTTTAAAAACAAAAATATGTCAGAATTTAGAAGGAATGGTAAAAAGAATTCTGAGTTGAAAAAGAAGAGGTAAGAATAGGACAGTGAGAACAAGGATAACAGGAGGACACCGTTCCTGCTGACATAAATATCACCTGTCTGGAAGCAAGTAAAAGTGTCCAGGTAAGCAATATCACAGTGATTTCATGAGATAAACTTCTCAACACTGGTTTTTAGTCAGTCATTCCTTCCATTCTAGAAACACTGGCACAGCACTTAAAGTGCAGCTGATACTGAGATAACACAGGAGATAATGGAGAAAGATCAATCTCTAGTTTCAAGTAACTCTCAGCCAAGAAGGGGTTGTAGTCTTTTGTCCCCTCCTTCCCTGCTCCATTTTTCTCCATAGCACTTGATACCATCTAATCCAAAATATATTTTGATTTTGATTTCTGTCCTCTCCCTAATCTCGAACATAAATAAACTCCAGCTTATAAGGTCAGGCCCTTTGGCTGTTTTAGTCACTGCTTTATCCCCAGAGCCTAGAACACAGTTCTCAACAAATATATGTTGAATAGATGAACTTTAATGCTCACATTCTTCAGTGATTTATTCATTTTCATTATTCATGGAAAAAAAATGAAGCTTAGTGAATTTGATGTACCTACATACTTAACATTGATAAAAAGCTCACCGATCATTCTTTTCCTGCTACCTCTCATAAAATGAAAAACTAGTTTGGAAGCTTGTACTATTCCGCTATGTTTCTGTGCCCAGGACAACTGTGTTGCACTATCATATTCTAGGGTTGTTTTTTTTTTTTTATTATCATGTTTAGAAAGTAGAATAGAAGCAGGAGCAGTGTTAAGGTTGACAGTTTTGTTCAGCATAGATTTATCTTGAACTAGCCTGTATTTACAGACACGAAGATAAAAGGGTAGCAGTAGCAGGAGTCAGGAGTTTTAAAACCAGGGCTGGGGAGAGAACTGCCTATGGCTGAAAGAAAATTAAAAAATTACTCCTAAAAGGGTAGCAGTAGCAGGAGTCAGGAGTTTTAAAACCAGGGCTGGGGAGAGAACTGCCTATGGCTGAAAGAAAATTAAAAAAAAATTACTCCCTGTGCACACAAATATATCCACAGCTACTTTATTCACTGTAGAATCAAACTGCGAGCAACTCTTACTATCCATTATGCATAAAAGGCTAAATAAATTGTGGAATATTCAGGGATTTAGCTCAGTGATGCTGCGGCCACCTGCCTCGCAAGTGCAAGGACCTGAGTTCGATCCCCAGTACCAAATAAAAAATATTTAAAAATCCACAGATGTGTCATAAACAGTATGCTGAAAGAAAGAAACCAGACACAAAAGACAGTAAATACTGCTTGATCCCATTTACAAAAGGCTCTAGAAAGACAAATCCAACCTTAGTAACAGCAGATCAGTACTTGCTGAAGCCAGGGCTGGGACGAATTGAGTGGTATTAGTATGAAGGGTGAAGAAAATATTTTGTATCTTGATCATAGTGGAGGTCAAATGGATGTGTGCTTTTTCAAAATTCATCAAAAACAGATATATTTGAGTATATGCTACTATGGGTGGGTACCACTTTAAAAAGTTGATTCTTAAAAGAAGAATATTGATGGATTCAGAAACTTCAGAGTTTCTAGACCAAAATATAAATAGAAAAATTAAAAGATGGGGTGGGGATTTAGCTCAGCTGTTCGGTGGCCTGCATCGCAAGTGCAAGGACTCAAGTTTGATCCCCGGTAGCACAAAAAAAAAAGAAAAAGAAAAGAAAAATTAAAAGATGGTTTGTATTAGGATATAGATAGGCTTCCTGTCACAAATCAGAAAGACCAGAACAAAAATACTGTAAAAACACAGTTAATTCTCTCATATTGTATTGATTCTAAGATACATATTTTCAGTTTAAAGTTTCAAAAATCCAAATGACCTCATAGTTCATGTAATGAGAAAGCATTATATGAGCAGACCTCCTAATAATATATAAATGAATGGTGCATCTTAATAGTCAATGAAATGTAGTAAAAGAAGTTCAGAGCTGGTATAACAGCTCCATAAAGTCACCACAAACTCAGGGTCTTTTTTTTAATTTTCTTC